TTATGACAGCAAAAAGTGATCTCATGGGTACTACGCTATTACAGTCGTGATGCCGTGTGGAACTAGAGTCACCTTTAAATTACCTAGGTAAGTAGGTAATTACCAGTAACAGCTTATCGTCGAGTGACTAACAAAGAGCCTAAACTTAGCTGCCCAGCGTGTAAACAACATGCTGAATAATTCGTAATAAGACGTCTCAGTTGTAGCAGAACGTTCTATAACATCTGAATAAATTGAAGAAGCATTTGTAAGATCTGCCAAAAGTTTTCTTTTGTCGGTTTACGTTAGTTTAACTTTGACCGACATCTAATGAATCAGTCGTAATCGAATTTAACGAGAATGAGCTTAATAACATGAACACAACATACAGAGAGCCTACTCTTTGAAACAAAGCTAGGGCAGTACTGGACGAAACGACGAAAAGGCTGCCATACCATGTAGATCTCAGTCGTATTTATAGAATTTACAGCAGTGTAAAGTATTACACTGGCTAGAAAGTGCCCGTTGCAAAACCGGTTCTATGAAGAGAGGGCATGCAGTCTTTTTGGCTTCAACGATGATCCCTCTATTTCATTTAAGAGAATCTGTAATCAAAAGATACAATTTATCCACACCGATCGCTGCTAGATCATGCGTTGTCCCTTACTCAAGCCGATACTTGCTAACATAAAATCGCAACAAAACTGACATGGACGTGAATGAAATGAACGACATGAACACACGGTGGAGGCACAATGAGAACACCAATCATACCCACTGAGCACTTGACTTGTTTCGTGTTTGTCTTTACCTTACTACCAGCAGAGAGAGAAAGAGGATAGAAGAAATCAAGACGTGTATCTATGTTATCCTTACAGATATTTTCATTATAAACAGTTAACATCTATCACAATATAGCCATATGCGGTTTCCATATGCAAGTCGTCGACATAAACAATATTTTTTGATAATCTTTTGTCTAGGGAGACAGCATGTAGCTATATCGTAATAGAGTAGACAATATTAATTGCAATTTTTTGTTCACTTTTTTCATTGCGTTGCTTTGCCGGAAAACGTTAATTTTTCCGATCTCATCTTACCATTCGGCAGATTAATGTTGCGTTGAATCGAAGCTACCGAGGACATATATTATAGAGCAGTAGAGCAGAAAAAGGCTGTTTCAAAAAAGCACGACGACCTATGGATATTCGAATTCTGAACTTGGGTCTTTCGAATTTTACGTCCAGCACCGCCATTAGGCCTTCCATGAGACGACGGGCTCCCAACATGAAACGAAACGCATGTCTATGCCCGAATTCAAACCTCGACACCATGTATCTCTTATACTAGCAAGGAAGCACATAACTCCCTAAGCTATCATGAAAACTCACTCTCGACCTCCGTCCGATAGTCCGAGTGTGTCTGTTTTTTGTATTATGTGTACATGTATTATGTGCAGTATACTGCATGATAAAGAAAAATCGTAGGAAAACTATTCTACACTTACCAAGAAGTTTTTGAGAAAATTAGCTGTAGAATCTCGTAAGTATGCCAACGAATCAAGCGCTCGTATCAGGTGCAGCTATTTCACGTTCAAAAGTTAAGATCTACTTTATCAGGGATCTATAAATAGTCTTCGATATAAAAATCAAGCATTTGGTTGTTGCCTGACCATTGCTGATTCTGGAAGAGATCCGCCACCTCGATCTAAGTAGGCTAAAATCAATTGGTAACTTTAAATTACTAGTGGCCAACGCACTAACCAGATTCCACCCTGCTGGGTGCAGTCGGAAACCATAATGCGTTACACGGCTATCTAAGGTAAACAAAACAAGCTCGAATTACTAAGTGTAAGAAAATATTATTCGGACATGTGATAAATAAAATTGTTGAAATAATCCGCATTGTTACCATACAGGCTAAAGCTGCGGATTGTTAAACTACAGTCTAAACGGAGTCACCAATAAAACATTATCGAAATAGTAAGTTTATTATCAACAACAACAAAAACAATCGCGATCTGCGCTAGCTATTGTCAGTTGCTCCACTGCGACTATTACTGTACAATCTTGTAAACATCTAATTTTCAAAAAATGAGCAGTTCTTTAAATGCAACAATGTAACCGAGAAAATTTCGCTAAAATTCATTCATAGACGCAACTAAATTCGTAAGTAAGACCGCTAATGCTAACGATTAATTTTCGATTTGTCTTTCCGCTATTGGCGTTTCTATTTTAATTTATAGTAACAAACGGGTTGACAAAACTCGTCCTTTTGTCGCATTTCGTTTATTATCCTGGAAAAAATTTAATCTTCTCGCGACGAACAACTCGCCATGCCGTTTAACCGAGGGGACAAAAATACGTCAAAACCGGGAATAAATGTCAAGTGGAAGTCAAACGAACCGAGGAGATAATCATGCTTCGATGGATGTTCTATGGTGAGTACTATTTTATATCACGATAAAGTAAATCATCAACAGTTCCGACTTTTAGCATTATTATTACTATTAGACCTAGAAGGAAATCAATTTTTTTTTGGTTTACAACGTTGACAGCATCCTGGTGTCGGTGCGATGGCCCGATGCTGTATACCAGCAACGGTTCCCATCGAAATTTATTTCGAGTAGCTCGCGTCTCATTTAATCTTGCTTCCGGTAACTAGGTTGCCACGCCCTACGAGATTTATAGGATTTCGTCATTTCATTATTCCTCCTGAACGCTGGTTAGACACAAATGCCTTTAACACAGTTGTAAATGTTGGCTGATGAGGACGTTACGTCCTGAATATGGGCTGAATTCACAAATCGAATCTTGGGGTGGTCTTATTTGCTGTCAGTTGCTGGGGTTATTCGGGAGTTGTTCTCAAATGTGGTACATTCAGGTCTCTTTAATTTCCACTTGTTAAGAAATTACGAAATATCTGTTTTTAACTCAGCTGAAATATGAGATTTATAGAAACACGTACGCGTAAACGTGTTTCAAAGTAACAGCAAACATTTATTTATTATATTTAACACAAGGCCAACGGCGTCCCATTTTATTGACTAGATCAAGCGCACTATGTCCCTCCAATCAAAATAGCAGATGCTAACTGGATACGTTCCACTGTATATGTTCCATATATCAATTTGTGGTGAGTCTTTGTAAATTTGGCTGGGCCACAGTCAGAACTGTAGAATTGCCGCACTCATTTACAGGTTCTCGCAATGGTATTACGACTATACTGATTGTCAACAGCTCTAAGGCGACAGGGCGTTCATAGCGAGGTCACGAACCAATTCCTTTAACGGGACAGTTCTTTTACTATTAGTTTCCCCTGTACGTTGGATATCCAGTGTTATAAGTTTAGTAGAACTAGCTCTGGCGAATAACTGCCCTTGCAATAGGCTACCTTGATTTGGCCTTTGCATACGTTGAATTTGCTCTTTTATGTGCTCTCACGTTAGCTGCTCAGTAGAAAATATCTTCAGCACCAATTTTAGCTGTGTATTTTCCATTTGCGCCTAATAGTAGAGGGATGGCCGAGAGATGCATATTTATTTCATAGAGTGCCAACGCAATTTGGTTGGCGAGGGTTTTTGCCTTGATTTTCTCTTCACAGCTACCAGCCAAGGGAGAGCTTCTCGTCAAAAACAGGGATACGACGTCCCTCGCCTTTGTTTCGTCCGCAACGAAGCATTTTAGCGTTGCTTACTTATCGCACCGCTTAATATAATGCATTTCGCGACACGTCATTGTTTGGGCCCATTAATTACAATAGAATAACGTACGTGAATATAAAGGTAAAATCCGGGTAAATGCTTTTGGCTTGTTGATAAACTCTATAGCTGAACATGCACGGGCCAGTGTGTCTGATCCAGTTTAGAAAATAGGATTTCCTTGAAGTAATTTCATCATATCTGCTCCCAAAATAAATATAGCCAGGTAGTCGTAGAAAAAGGTCTGTACGTGGGAAATAGAATATCGAAATTTCTTGTCTCTAAGTTGATATCCAATAATTAATTTACCTGTCACCAACCTGTGGGCTTAGTTTTTCGATTCCGTAAATTCGTTTAGCTCTTCTGCATAATTCTTACATACTTTTTATGGATGTAGGTTAATAACTTTGTATGTAAAACCGCGCATAATTGGAATCAATTGAACCCGAACTTCAAAAATGGTTCAGCTATAACCTTTAAAGACACGTTGAATAGGCCTCCTTCACATTAATGGGTAGCAAAATGTTACTTACTAGCGGTGCTAAAACAAAGATAACCGCACCCAAAAGAAAAGGTTTTTTTTTTAAATCAGCCAGAGTACCAGACCTAGTCTGTCCTACCAAGGATGAGCGCAAAATGTACAAGATAAAAAGCTGACTCTCAAAAAACTGACAGAATGGTAATTATCATGTGAACTGGAAGTCGTAGCACCAGAATGTTGATCGTATGTGAAGTAGGGACGAAAACTTCATAGCGGCCCCATCAAATACAACAATACGGTTCGTTTTTCTCTACTCACAGAAATTTCCCTGCCTCGTTTGCCCTTTACAGTAAGATTCTATCGAGTAGGTCAGAAGAGCATACGGACAAAATGGAGATCTCGTTCCATCTTTATATAATCTATCTGAATGATGATCTGTAGATAATGAAGGTACCTCTTCGGGAGCTCTTGTGTAATATACGACAAAACTTAAAGGCTTCATATAGACTTTAGAAAATTAAATTAGGTGATTAAATTAATTCAAGCTTGAATCGCACTAGTCGCATCTACTTAGACCTGAGAGAGGACAAGTTTCAAAACTATACAGATGAGAACCACTGTCGTTCAGCTATATTTTTCTATAGTTTTTACAAGACTTCTTTTTTGTTGTATGGATAAAGAATTAACAAAATAGCAAGGTGTGTGACAGAATGGATAGATTTCACAGCCTATGTTTAAGCCTTGACCTATTGATATAATCAGGAGCAAACATTTTGTAAAATATAACATATTTTGCTTGGTTAGCAATTTCTATCGATAGAATCGATCCTTGATTCATACCTTATTTCTGTCTCCATATGCATCACTTCAGAACGTTGCAAAATTCAAGCATAACGACCGTGTCTGATACCAGTATTTCAAGTTGCGAGCTCTACCCTCTCCGTGCCTTATAATGCAATAATCGCTCGTCACTCGGCGGTTTTGATGAACCATAGGTCCTGTTGAAGACAGCGAACTCAATCAAAGCACCAGCCAGCAGCCAGTTGTCATTTGCGCACGTGAACTTATTGTAATTGTCCGCAACTTTCTTCTTAAGTACGTAAACTTAAAAAGACATTTGATTGTATAATTTCTTTTTTAGTTCTTAGAGCGTATAGACGACAGCGGAGAAATCGTCTACATATTTTGAATCTATTGCAACGGATTCATCATATCTGAAACACAACATACACACTATCATTGATGTTTATGTTTAGTTATGTATCATTTCCCGAAAGCCACATTTACAAGGCAAGACGCCGTTTAGAAAACCATACAAAAGATATAACTTGCAAGTACAAAGCGTGCGTCTACCTCGGGTCTTAATCAAATATATAAACTCAAATTAATTAAGAAAAAGTAATTGCACTTATTTTCAGTTTTACTTTGCTTCTTTGAGTTGCTGAAAAAATGTTAGCTCCATAGAAAAATGAGAAATGTTAAATTCTAAACATAACTGGTGTTCATTCAATTAATGACATGTCGATTATTTATTCTTATCTTTTAGCTAAAAAAACATAACTCGAAACTTCTTAATGGATGTATCGTTAAAACTTTTTTAATTGAATAACTGCCATAATGATCCGACGTATTTAGCATGATGCTGATCAAATTAGCTGCATTACTCTGTTGGAATGATTGAAAATTCGGACGAATCTGACTGTGGCCGGAGAGAACGTAAACAGGATACAGCAAGCATTTTGGAGTTGTGATGGGAGATTGACTTGTTTTCATTCGATTTGTGGCGCAGTAATATCAAACACTGTTGTGGTGATCAAACGCCGAGAACAATGGCGGACCGGCTGACACAGCTGCAGGACTCCGTGAATTTGGTACGTATTCACTGACGGTTGAAGTTATATATTATTGCGTAAACACATTAAGTAAGTCTACTGTGTAAGTCTTAACTTGGCTGGATAAGGAAACTGCTCTATCCGAAAATTTTCAAGAATCATTCGTTCATTGTAAAGGTAGCCGAATGGCGGGGCAACCGGTGACAGGCGAAGCATTTGTTTATCCGCCAGAATGGGGAAAGGTAACAAACTTTTATATATATATGTTATATATAGATATATATAACTTCTGTATCTTATATATATATTACATTTGTAGACACCTTCGTTGATTTCGAGCTGTCGTCAATCGATGGTTTTATTAATTTATTTTTTAAATTAAATTTCTTAAAATAGGTGCCAGTGTCTTGACGGTAGCGAAATTGCATAGTTGACTAGGTCTAAGTAAATTTCAAGTACAGAAGCAAATGCTCAATATGTTAATGTTGATAAAAACACTTCACTATCATAGTGTTGTGTAACGAATTAGAGAAATTTCAATACTTCATCACTTCTCTGCACGCATGGTCTCGAACAGGTCAGCAAACATATTTAAGTATTTCTAAATATAAGAACTTCATCTAAGTAAACAAACATACGATGTTGTCTCAATTCGAAAAGCAAAAAACCGTCGGACTCGAAAAATCTGACTGCGTTAGGCCTAAACGGTTAATTAGAACTAATCGATATTTAACTCAAGGACTGACAATACAGTTGCTATTGATCTGTTACCCAGGCGTTCGTTATCTGAAAATCTAATACAATGGAAAGCAACTAACGTGGTGCGTTTTTTTAATAGCAAGCGGAGAACTTCTGCAATAGCATTGGTGTCCTGCAGCAGCTAGCTCAGCCCTCGCCGTTCCCGGAACTTGAAAAAAGTTCTAAAATTGCTCCACAACCTCAAGAGGGTACGGATGGTGAAGCATGCGTCAATATTCTGTTTTTTATTCATTTCTGAAACGTACATTTCTTTAAGAAATGTATATATTTAGCTGTAAATATCTCTATTCGTAAATGGTCACTTACGCTGTTTTTTTTTTTAGTTTCTTTTTGTTGCAGAAACTTTAAGCAATTTTTTTTTGCTTTTGTTTGGTACTTAACTAACGAAATCCAGGAGTTTGCTATCAGTACTACGATGTCATACGGAGTGCATTTTTTTATGAATTTGGCCAGAATTTGTTGATCTTTCTGTTCTGTGAAAAGGAAAATCAGATACTTGCGAAATATTATTGGTACCAAAAAAAGCTTGTTCTTTCTAAAACAAAATAGCGAACTCATCAATAATATGCCAGTGGCTACTAATGCTTTCTGTAACGCTTTTAAATCAGTTTAAAACTTCATTGCCGCGCATGAAACAGCAAGTGGAAAGGTTGCATCTGTATCTAAAAGTTCTTTGGCTCACGATAAAGTTCTCACTTTAGAGAAAAATACAGTTAATTAATAAGCGTGTTTGTCTAAGAAAGGAGTGAAAAGTCCGTATAATGGTCTATGGTTGAAAGATTTCACAACTGAAATTTTGGACATTTCCAATGACTCTGCTTTCCTGAGTCAATTAAGGAAAAAATTCGCAACACTGGACAGCTGGTAATCTGGGCCTTAACGAGGCACTTTATTAATAAAGGTTAAAGCAATTTCCGGAGTTACGGAGGGTTTGCTGACAGAGCAAACCCGGACGGATGAAAAAGATATGATTAAGACAGACTTTGTAATATAGTAGGATTTATTAGCAAATATTACACTCTCAAGATGATAACCAGAACTGTTAAATTGTAGTAAATAGCGAAGACCAAAGAGGTTGAAATATTAGGAAAGCGATGGTGCTGGAGGAAATTCTAACTGTTTCAGTGATGTTGAATGAATTTCAGATATGTTAGGCTCAAAAAACGATAGGTACTTCATGTGAAGTCATTGGGCTTTTCCGATCGATTTGTGAATTTGATCGATATTGATTCCGTACTTTCAGACTATGCTGCTTTGTTTGCAACGATGATTGCTCGCACAGCAAAAGACATGGACGTGCTTATCGACTCCCTCCCAAGCGAAGAGGCCGCACCCGAATTACAAGTACGTAGCGCATCCCGAAAAAGTGTTTGGGCAACAATCACTATTATATGCCTAAGTTATTACTATATTACTTCTTTTTGTTGCTTCTATAATACCGTACATTTTGTTTGAGAATATCTGTAAAGGCTAGCATAATTCATGGTTGTCTAAATTATTTTTATCCATGTTAGTAAAGTCCAAACTAAACAATGAAATAATCAAATAAGATAATGCAAAGTACAATGTTGCTAGTCCTTTATGAGTAAATCGGCAATTAAATAATATCAGCTCCTTCAAAAACTTGTCTTTTTTAGATGAGAATATTTTTATAAATGCACACGTGTATATTCTCTGCAATTCTTCAGCAATTTCAAAAATAATTTTAGATAGACAAATCGTCGAATACTGCGTGCCAAATGGCCAATTATTAACGCATAATACAATCCGGTATTGTGCACTTAACATCATACGGTACACCTAACTTTCTATTATTTCAAACTAATTTTCATACTAATAGAAGTTTCAATAGTTTTTAGGCAAAATGGTCCTCGCCATCAACAAGCGATTATTATTAAAGGCAGCGCACAATAACATTCTACGACATTTTTTTAATAAACACATTTCTCACTTCCATTTTATAGGCGAACAACCTTGAACGGTTGGAAGTGGAAAATGCGGACGCGGCCCTTCGCTTGAAGGAAGTGGTGGCCCGTGGTGAGGGACTCCTCCGTCAGGTGCAGGGCGCGCTGTCTGAAATCGCCGGCCAACAGCTGAGTGCTAGACAGCCGCCTCCATTGCCAAATCGGGAACCTCCTAGAGGAGATCATCAATGATAATGAAATGACGATGACGAACGATAAATGCTCGGCACGTTTAATGTACATAAAATCCAGTTCCTTTACCCTGTGTATTTTGTGATCCTTTATGACCTTTTGGGATGGTTGCGGTGTAAAAAGCGCGAACAACTTAACGTGATTAGAAGTACGCCGCCGGACAGCTTCCGACGAGGTCTCTACAATGCCAAACCAATCTCGTAAAAAATAACCAAAGAATATATAGTGGAGTATTTGGGACCTGTGACAAAGGTAATCGAAATTAGAGATAGTCGACTTTCCCGAATAAATGGCTGATGTAATTTGTTGCAGGAGATAAAAGCGAATTGGTAGAATTGTACTTGTATTGTTTCGCACATAATAATGATTGGTGAATACCGAGTTGTTTGGCATACCTTTGGGAACTAACACCCACGATTGTGCGTCATATCTAACTGGTTAACCTTTAATATGCCGTGACAATAAAAAGTATTGATTTGTTTACAACAGTGGGTTGTCCCATCTATACACTAAAATAGTTTGAACTGTGTGTTTCAAGGCAAGTCTAAATTTTTGATATATTTTAGACCAACTCTAATATCCACGCCAGAACTCTTCAGACATGTGTGCCCGTTAGTGCCATGTTTGTGCCATAAGAATGACAGAAGTGACCTTTTAAGTCATTCAATTAAGCTATCCGCGTAGAAATCGCAATATTGAACGCGTGTAACATAAATAATCAGATGACTGCTAACTTGTTCAATTAGCATATTCGGCTGCTTGAAATGGAAATTTTTAAAGAAGTTACTTCATAATCAATGAAGTAAATCGATACAATGTAAAATAGAACATCCCTAGCATGACCTTTCAGCTATTTCGTGCGGTTTGTCCTGCGCTTTGTTTTAAGGTAAATGGTACCTAAATAGCGACTAGGTATATCTCACATACGTAAGAGATTTGCACGTACCTCCTGAAGATATTTAGGCGGAAAAATAGCCATATTCATAATGATAAATAGCTAGATGTTTATACGAATAGTAGTATCATCCGCCGGGTTCAGTCGACGACGGATTTTTCGTTTCTGCCTGTTCCTAATCAAACGTGCAACACTATTTTTCGCAAAATAATATATATATATATATATATATATATCGCTATTGTTTGTTCAAGTTTGCAAGTAGATTATATATTATAATTCTAATGGCATTTATTCTAATAATAATAATAATAATATATTTGCTACTTTACGTGCAGCTTTCGTTTTGTACACGCCCATAAATGCAATTCTGGCCTTTCAAAAAGTATCATTAGATAACATCGTTAACTTATATTCGCATAGTAATGCTTTCTGCGAGCAATTACTTATGTATTCGCATTGACCTGAAAGGTTACGGAGGATTTACTTAAGTGCAGTTTTTTCTGAAGTTATAGCGGAATATTTTACAAGTCAAGCATTCTTTTCAAGGACATATTGAGTATAGAATCCGATAGGTGGGTGGTATCGTGTTGTTGTTATGTCATATGGGTTCTCGATAGAAGTACCTATACTCCAAGATCGTTATTTATTCGACTTAGACTCAGTCAATCATAAAACTAGTACTGAATTATAAAGGTAACAAAGATCATATTAGAAAAGCTAAGCTAAATTACATGGGCACAAACATATGTTGAGCTTTTCTTTTTCACTACATTTTTTGGATAGGTTGTAAACACACTTAATGCGACGCTAGCATTTTTCTGCGATTGAGTTATTAGGATAGTAGCATGATGTCGTAAAGATCATAACAAGTATACCAATTTGAAACATTATCGTGCTTGCTTACAAAATTTTAATTATATTTTGAGCCAACAACTCGGTTCCTCGTTTCAATCCTTATATAACTGAAGCGTTTGTATAGGATCGCGTTTAATGTGCGGTCGGAGATAATGACGTAAATCGACATGGACATACAGATACGAGAATCCGACCTATTTTGCAAGAACTTGCTCTAATTTTTCAACTTGTTTGCAATGCCTTCAATGCGTAGGGTCGCAATATATATTACCAAAGATCCAAAAAAGGCAACACTTAGCGCAAACGTTCCTACGCTCCATAACAATAATCGAGCTGCTAAACTTCCGTCAACGACAGGCTGAAGCTTAACAAACGGCTGCATCAAGCCTGCTAATTATTCATTGATAACCATTTGCTTGAAGTTCAAGAATTTGTTTGGAATTTTCGGAAAAAACGAGAAATGTTGGATGTTTGTAGACGATTCATTTGTCCCTTCTTGTAATCGATCCTATTGAGATAGACAAGCTGCCAATAGTATAAGGTAAAACGGTGTGCAAGTTATTAATGATTTTGATAAATGGCTAGCCGTTCTATGTATTTGGCCATTCAATCAATACTTCGAAATATGTACGGTGCTATGTTTTCATTATAGGGTTTTCAATATTGTTTTCATAATATATATATATATATATATATATATATATATAGTTTGTATGTACATATTTTTAAATACGGTAGGGTTACGTTAACTTATAATTCTTTGAAAGGTAATCCATTATTTATTATGCTATCATGTTATCGACCAATTATACGGCATGACAACGTACGTCCAACTGATTGTATAATATATGTTTACGGAGTTCCTCATCTCTGGTCGAGAAGGCTGAAGATCATTTGTTCCATACCATCTTACCAATCACATACACCATATAGTAGGTACGATTAAATAAATAAAATACCACCAAGTTAAAAGAGGCAAGAGGAAAATTAACGAGAGAGATATTGCCATTGTGATATCTATTCTAATATTTTATACAGTTTTTTTTCTATGTGCAAAGGGTATCGTTCATGATGTACCAGGCTGAAGCTTTTCCCTACTAATGCACCCGCTGGCGGCTTTACCCTTCAATGGACAGAGTTAAATTGGAAACTACTGTCTTTGCAATATCAATTTTTTTAAATTGCGAGTTGTTGCGAAAAAGTTGAAAATAATTATTTATTATAAGGTTTTAGGATTATAGGATTATAGAAAAATGTACTTATTATAGGGTTTACAAAAAATGTAGGGATACGACGCACGAGGCGTGAGTGGTAGGCGTTCGGCCCCCCGCGGTAGCTTTCGTACAGTATCAACACAGCTTGTATCAAGGACTGTTATGTTGAATTCTCACTGAAATAATACACAATAGTTATTATTCATCATATATTAATAATCATAAAAAGGCATAGCTACTTAGGGTCAGCCGTCACTTACCTTGAATCAATAATCACTCCAAGGGTAGAGGGTTTCAAGGACATAGAACGGCGACGCGTTACCAATACAAACAAAATTTTGCTAAAACTTATTGTGAAAACCGTTTTTTAAGCACGTTTGTAAAGAACCTACTCAAGGTTAAACCCCAAAACGTCGAACCCTATTCAAATTTTACATCTGCATTTTTATATTATCAAAGTGAAGCCGGTAAAAATACAGGGTCATTCAAACGCTGAAAAAAACTATTTATAAAGAAGATCTTTGAGAGAAATTTGCGCATCAAGATTTTTAAATTTGACTCCATCGCGCTCTGTCGGTGGATAAATTGCTCTTATTGGTTATGTTAACGTTCTATACAGAATATGCTTTTCTAGTGCCAAGCGTAGTATAGTAATAATTATTTAAGAAAAAGCCATTAAATATATATATAAATATATCAAGTAAGATGGGAAAATGTCCTAATCATAATTCCCTCGCGTTTACATGGTGTAGTTGATAAATATGCCTGGAGCTGTCCCGGCAATATCTTCTATTAAATACAAACGATCGTGTAGAAAATTTCGTCTTACGCGACACTGTACGTACCAACAGGTAACTCGGATTGTCTAGCTTCACCGGTCTAGCTAACACGGGGTGGCAAAGTAAGCGTTTGGTTTAAACTAGGAAAGGTCCGAATGCAATCCATTGCACAAATATCAGAAAAATTATTATTTGAAAATAATAATCTATAATCTAATCTGCATCTTGAAACCCTCTAAAATCCTGTTCTTTTTCAGTCTCCGAGAAAAGGCTGGCTCCATCGAAATCATGGGAATACGTAAAATCAAAGCAATTTCGCCTTGGATAGGCAAAAGAAGCATTTTCAAGAAGAAAATGTGCTTCGCAGTAGACTAATGACGAAGGTCTTTCAATCCATTTATTTTTTAGAGCACCCACCGCTTCTACCCCAGGTGCTTGCCACACGTAATAATTAAATCCTAGCTTCTTCTCGAGATCCTCCATCAGTAGATGTTCACAGCTAACTGCTGAATAGCCAAGTCGAGGTGCAGAAGTGATGAAGCTTTCCATAGTGAAGTATTCCATCCTGTTCCGTGCGGCGCACGCTGAAGTCTTATTTCTTATCTTCACCAAAGCAATGGCTGTTACTAGACAAGACTGCATTTTCCACAATCTGCATTCTTCTTGCTTGTACTGAAAATCAACGCTTGTTAATGTGCGAGTTGCTGCTGAAAAATTATGTGATTTTGCCCTAGCTCAACTTAGCCATCGGTGAGTATTGAGACGTCGCAATATTTAGAAAGCTACTTGAGTGGTAACATTGTAAAATTGACAGAGAATCGTGGTTCACAAGCAATGGTTTGGTCAGACGCGGTTCATCTTTTCTATAGTGACTTGTTCAAGTGAACAAGTCACTATAGAAAAGACTTCAAGTGAGGTCGTTATAAGGACCATACCCGTTAGGTGTTAATCGTATTTAATTTGATTCAAACTCACTCGGTGATTCACTTAGAACGTCAGAAAGATGGAAGTACGCTAATTCATATACATCGCTAAGTTTTTCTTCTAAGTAAACGCAGACTTGTTTGAAATTAATTTAAACTTCCGCAGTGTTTTACAGGTAAACTCACAAACTCATTAGCAAAAATACACATTATTGCTTTATGTTATAGACCCTGAAAATGATGAAAATCGGGTAATCGTAAATCAGTATTTGCTTCTGTCGCCTTAGAAAGCCTGCTGAGTTTTACTTTCAGAAGAATCTCTGTGTACGTTGTTATTTTGCAGTGATTATCGATTTTTGTACTCGATACGTGAATATCTACTAAAAAATGGCAACAT